TTCTCGATTGCAATCATTTCTTAGAAAGGAAAGAAAATTGATGTTTACTGTGCGCCTTTCACTTGAATGCTTAAATATTAATGACAAGGGATTAAAATTCCAATTTTAAAGGACAGAATGACATCCATATTTAATAAGTTATATATTAGAAATTTTCATCACGAGTCGGACTCCCCTCAAAGTACGGCAAGGGGTTAAGAAGTGTTCGTACACTTTCCGAGCCATATCGGTGTATCGATATATTTAAAGTCCTACATTTGCTTAATTTATACGTTGCTATTGTCTTGATCCGCCCTACGCGAAGAGTTGGTTTGAAGAAGAAGCAACCGTAAGGAGTATATCGCGACCATGATATGATGTAACATGACATTAAATGGCTCGGCGCAACACGACGTAACATAAGACGTTGCTCGGGGGATTGCACCCGATGATAGGCAATATGAGATCACGACTGCTCCGCGGCTCCATGCCGCATCGAGCTGGAAAACAGTAACTCACGGCCGAAATCAAATTTCTTTTTCTTTCAACTTGTACATTTTCGGTGATATTTAAACAAAAACTTAGCAAACCACCATATTTGTATTATTAGAAATATAATAATAATTATTAGAAATATTTCGATATTAGAAATAATAGAAAATGGAATTCTTTTTCTCGTTTTTGCTTAAATATCAGTAAAAATGTGAAAGTAACTCTGAGTTTACAATTATTCGCAAGAGCATAACCGAGACAGCATGTATATTTAAAGAGAACTTAACAAAACACCATATTTGTATATTTTTAAATTAGAAACAATAGCAAATAGAAATAAACGAATACGATGTTTCGTTGAGTTGTCGTTTAGTAACAATGTAAACGTTACTTTCAGTCTACAATTGTGCGCACCGCTGTATTAAGCGTTATAGAACCGGAGACGATAATTCTCTGGTGAATCAGAACACAAAAAATGACGGTCTTATGGAACAGAAATTCGGTAAAAATCGACGGATCGCGCGAGTAGAGGTATCTGAGCTTTAAAACGACGCAAGTTTCATCATCGCGCGACTCTGTTCTACGAAATTGAAGCGATTCGAAGTTTATGTGCCGAGAATGTTTTTCAAAGATCGACGATCACGTGTACGAATACTTTACGGCGACTGCTGTACATTCTCGAGGAAACAAAATTATCCGCGACACTGAATTCGCAAATTTTCCGTACATTACACGGCTATAAAGGAGTCGAAGCGCAATTATTACCCTTGAGCCGCGGGATAAGGTTTCTTTGGCGCTGTTTCTTTTTTCAAGGTGTCTCGTAAATCGTCGGTCGGATATCTCGAAAGACGATGCGCATGCAGAGAATCGTCGGTGTCTCATTAGAAAGATCTTCGTATCCGTTTGGTTCTCGTGGCTGCGGGACCAACGTCAGAAAAATCTCGCGGAACGAGTCACCCCGCTGCTGTCAGGGACTTACTCGTATCTCGGTCGTTGTATATAAGCGTGAGACCGGGCCTCGGGTTCGTAATAAGACCTGCCGGCCAGGTTTTTCAGCCCCGCTCCACCGTATTGCTCCGTATCTCCTTCTGCATTTCTTCTCCCTTTCGTTCCCTCTTGGCTTCCTGTCGCTCTCTTTTTTCTCTCTCCCTGTCTCCTCTCCCTTTCTCCTTTCTTTTCTCATCCCTTAGACCTCTCGCCCCTCCTCTCTCTCTCTCTCTCTCTCTCTCTCCCTCTCTCTCTCTTCTACCCCCTCCTTCTTCGTCGTGTCCTCGTTCTCTCTCTCTCCTCCTCCTCCTCCTCCTCCCCTCTCCCACTCGATCTTCCGTTTTATCTCTTTCCCTTTGTTTTAATTTCTATCTTTTCCTCTTTGTCACTCTTCACCGACTCTTTTCTTCGAGACACACCGAGCCCGCGGTCGGCAACGTCCCGATGCTATGCCACCAGTACCGGTATTAATTTATACGTTGTACGTGTGTGCACGCCGCTTTTTCTCGCAGTTCCTCGAAATTTGCAAGAAACTAGTCGGACACCCTGGCGGCTCGACCGCCTGCCCGCATACTGCCCGCCGTTCCATAAGCTTTGCTGGACGTCGCGAACCGAACCGAACCGAACTGAACGTTCAGACAGCTTGTATTCGCTAACGATGGAACGCCGAACACAATGCACTGCGACATAATCTCGTTGCGCGTCGTGCACCGCGGCACGTGAAATTTCTATTAAGAACGCTTACGCGATTTGCCGCGTCTCATTTGCCTTACGAAGAGGAGCTATATTAAATTTCGACGCGATTTGAGATATCGCGTTTCGTTTCGTTCGAAACGAATCTCTACGATTTTCAGCAAAAATAGAGACGTTGTTGGAATTTTAATTTATTTTATTTTGCAATTCGAAATAGTGAAAATACTACACAAATTGTGAAATGTCAACGAATCACTGTCGATTTGGTAGAATTTTATTAACCCTTCGCCCTATAGTCACCCCTGAGAGACCTGATAAAAGAATCGGGCTAAAAATGATTATCATAATCTGAGAGACGTGGTAAAAAAAATCATGCCAGAAATGACTATCACGTCTGAGAGACGTGGTCAAAAAATCCTGCCAGAAATGATTATCACGTCTGAGAGACGTGGTCAAAAAATCGGACCAGAAATGAGAGCCGTGGCGCGTCAGTCGGGCCAAACATAACTAGTTAGGCTCGTGTTAGACTAGGGGATACGTGTTTTGTGGTTTTTTGTTTTTCGTCATTTAATTGTTTTATTAGTAGCTAAAGGGGGTGGGGTGCAGGAACCAGCTTGACACGTGCTGCGATTTTTGCGATCTTTAATTGCTTATAGCTCATACGAATATCAATCGATTTCGGTAGAACTTTTAACATGCATATAACTTACCGAGATCTAGAAAACAAATTTTTTAAATCTTCGTTGTAGGCTCGGATAAATAAGTTAAAAAAACAAGAGTTTTTTTCTTTTCTTTTATCGTTCTAAGCAATGGCAATCTTTTAAAAGAGCATTCTAATTATGGTCTAGTGGACTGGTCGCTCTGTCATCTAAAAAAAAACTCAAGTCGTTTAGTCCAGTTGTAAAAAAGTTATTGCGTTTTGAAAAGTGTACTGCCGAATATTAACAGGAATCACTGTATATACATTCTGTAAGAAGTTCATGATTGGCACAATTTCAGACGTTTCGCGCAACCGTGGAAGGGCTCGACGCGTGACCGATCTTGTTATGGCACACGTTCTTGAAACTTAAATCGTAGGAAAAAGAGTTAAGGAAAGAAAGAACGTTCCATTTAGCTTCTATTTCTTGCTATTGATGCAGACAAATTTTATCTCACGTAATAATCCGCAGTCTAATTATTGCTAATCTATTACTAGTTAATGCTACCCCACGACCCTTATATCCTATATCCATCTTCCGACGGTGGCAAGTCCACAACCCTTTCACCTTGTACTATCCCTTTCCGATAATGGCGATCCCGCGGTGAAAGAGACATTGGCAAGTCCACTATTCTCCTAGTAAGTGGCAAGCCGGTGGTGAAAGAGACATCGGTAAAACCCACGACCCTTATGATTATAGTGGCGATCCAGTGGTGAAATAGACATTGGCAAGTCCACGACAACCAAAACTCCCAAACGTGCAATCCTCTGTCGCCTCACTCATCGTAATTTATGATTCAATTTATACAGTCGCCTCGGAAAGTACGTTAACGCCTTCTCAATCGGAATAAATTTTTTAAAGTTGATTCAAAGGACTTGAATATTTCTGAGATGTTAGGCTGACCAGCTTTCTATGAAATGAGTATACAAAAAGTTATTTAGATTGCAATTTATAGGAATGATAAAAAATTAAAAAACGATCTTCTTTCAACTTTTTTATCTGAGCACATGACGAAAATTTAGAAAATGCAAAATCCTGGCATGCAAAATGGATATTAGTGTAACACTTGTTCGAGCAACGTGTAAGCACTAGATTAAAAAACTTTTAATTTACAATCTGTCCACTTGAATTTTCATGTGACATCGCTTGAGTTCTCCGTCTTTTACTATAATTTCCAAGTATCCTCTTGACTAAGTTCTCTTCGCCAAGGGCTTGTAGATCTCCGTTTCTCCGATTTTTAGCACAAATTTTCGTTCACAATGCACGAAAAGATACCAGAAGGTGCTTACCTGACCAAACAGATCGTTTGTTACTAAAGATTCGTGTTTGTCAGATGCAGCGGTATGGAACATGACGATCAACCTTATTCAGGAACGTCGCACATCAATACTAAATTTCCCGTAGCTTCGCCAACTTTAGGGATATCACAATAAAATTGGCAATATATATTTAGTAATATATTTAGTAATATATTAAAATTAGTAATATATTTATTTAATTTAATAAGTTAGTAATTTATTACTAATATATATATATTAGTAATAAATTTTTTTGCAAAGGCTCGAGTGCCCTAAGAATAAAATATCAGTGGAGCTTTTATCTAGAAGCTTTGTAACTCATTTTTTACACTTTTTATTTGGGGTCTATCATGTCCTCAGAATACCAGTTAGTTTTCGTGAAAATCATTATGCTAATTAAAAGTCAATAATCGCTTCAGTAAAATGGCCCATTAAATCACGTAAATATCAAGATGTTCCATTCCATTGAATGAACTATTATCATACCATATATGCTGAGTTTCATCCATAAATAACACCGTTAGGATTTCCAAATATTTGCGAACAATGAAACTAAAGAATTTCGATTATAAGAGAATCGATGCATAATATGCTCAATTACCAATGTCGATCTTAATACAATAAATTCTTCCTAATTTTCCTTCAGCTTTTAAACAAAAGTGGACAATTTGAGAAGAGGAGATACGATTATTCGAGCCTTACACCCCGTTTTTATAATTGTTGACAATAGGCAACTGTAAAAATGAGTCGCGAGACTCGAATAATCGTATTTTCCCTTCCCAAACGGGAGATGTTTACAAGCTAAAGGAAAATTAGGGAGAATTTACTGTAATTCGCTGTGTATATCATTTAGTGGTGCAGACATCCGTACCTCAAAACGAAGCAGAGCTACAGCTGTACAGGGTCATGCAAAAGGCGTCCCTTTTGGGCTACTACGACACTCTTCTCGAAATGGGTAAGTTAGATTTTAAGTTTAATATTTGAGCCGTTATTTTTGAAAGTGGTGTAAGTCCATTTTTTCATGTATCGAGATATTTAAAGGTTTGCGTTTGAATCAATTTAAAAATATTGGCAAAAGTTAAACAATTCGAGTGATGTTTTTAACATTATAAACCAGTTAGATTTTATTATGCAAGAATAATTATTAAAATCGTTAACGAAAGTTGTTTTTTAGCTTCAGTGATAACATATTATAAAAAATAAAAACAAATGGAAATTTAAGTCCATATTGTTATAGACATTTGCTTTATCGAAATGGATTCTTTAATGTGAAAAATGATAATTAAAATGAAGACATGTAAGTACACGAATAATCTAGTTTATTAAGAATTAGTTTCAGTTATATTAAAAAAGAAAATACAAATGAACAAGTGAAAAAAGTACATAACTTCGTTAAGATAACTAAAAATAAAAAAACTATTCTTTTTTTTATGTTGTCTCATTTGGCGCCCGCTGGTACATACCTTCTAGGGACACCCTATATAGAAGCATACATTTTTTCGTACAATGTTGCAAGTAGAATAATAGAAACTATAATATAAATAACACAAATGTTTCAAGATTCAACCGTAACAATCATATTGGGACATCGAATCAAAAATAGAAACGAATCCTGAAAATCAGGACATATATATTGTACTATGGTGTAGAATCTGGAATAATAATAACGCCTAATTCATATTGTGTATTATGAAACACTAAATGTATAAAAACAATTGGCTTATCGAGCTTACGATGATTTGCACAATTCTCTGTATTATTACAGGTGGCGACGATGTGCAACAATTGTGCGACGCTGGAGAAGAGGAGTTTTTGGAAATTATGGCTTTGGTCGGTATGGCAAGCAAACCCCTTCACGTCAGAAGACTTCAAAAAGCTCTGCAAGAATGGCTAACAAATCCTTGTAAAATATCACAGAATATCAAATTTGCCGATTTGGTGCACATAAAATTGCCGATTGTGCGTAATCTGTTTTCAATTTAAAACGAGACACATTGTAATTGTTAAATTTTGCAAATAGCTTCATTTTACGTAAAAATAATATTTGCCAGAAGGATTTTCCGCGACACGAAATTTAAGGTCCAAAGTTATGGAAAAAATGATTTTACGATTTTAGTGTCGCCCCTTATAATTTTGAAAGGTTCTATGCTTCGATTTTGCTGAAATTCCGAAAACAAGTTCTTTTTAGATGAAAACAGCGTTCGATGATCTAACCAAAATCTAACACCATTGCAAAAGTACGAAAACAACACTTAAGGACTTATTTAATACTTTGGAAAATCCTTGTCCGCATAGGGTTAACAATATACGTTTTTTCCTCGTTTGTACTTATAATTACAATTTCATATGCACCAAATTAAATATAACTGTCTGTATCGTATAGTACCCAGACTAGACACAGTAAACTTACTCGTAAAAGTACGTTTCCTATTATGAACACCGACATCATTATTAACATAATAATACATGACCAGCTCGAATTTTCATATTTCGAAATTCGGTGTAAAAATCGGAGCTACAGCACCAAAGAGAATTGCTTCTCATACAAATGAAAATAAGTGGCAAAATATATTTAACAGGTACCAAAATCTGAAATATTGTAAAATTTTGCTCTCAAAATTTTGCGGTCAATCACTTAGTGCAACGCGGTATAGTTTGAAACAATAAGCTTGAAAATTTCAAGCGCTTTTTTTCGAAGCCGTTGTTTTCAAATCTATTGTACAGGACATCTCAGCACTAATTAACTTCTTCAAACGAAGCTTATTTTCTTTGTTATATGTTCCCCTACGGATTATATCTTCGGTCTGAATTTACTTGTCATTTATAATATTTTTTAAATCAACAGTTCTGTGTACGTACCAAAAGATTTATAAAAGATTGTATCTAGTTTGAAGAATCTTCCTCAATATTTAGATTAAACCTCGGACGAGATAAACATTTCATAAAAATATACATAAAAAAACAAAAGTGAACCAAGTAAGATTTTTAACGCTTAGAACTATCAATCCAGTCGAAATGACTGGCTTTTCGGTTTCTCCTGTTGCAACTTCTGATATTATAAAAATGTTTCTAATTTTTACGTGGACTTCTTCATTCAAGCATATATTACAATAAAAATCGTACGAAGTCTAAATAAATCGAATCTTGTCCCTCTGTTATGAAACAACGTAAACATTAGTCGCGTTAAGAACTTGGTAGTTCCAGTGTTAATAAAATAATCAATAATTTGTACACCTGTAAAATATTAATTTCTGATCGTAAATAATTACAGCAACTAAATTTGTATTCGATAAAAATCATTCGATTCTGTTTGGAAAATCGGTCGCTCTAGAAAATCAATTCGCGTGCATACCTAACTTTCACAAGTTTTCTGTGTCCCGCCGGGAGGCTACGATCCGTTATCGAAGCATGCTAATTTGTTTCTGTCCCAGCCCTTTTCCAAACACCGGTGGTGCCGACGAATACCACCTGTAAGAATCCGCCGACCATAGGATTCGCCTGCGCAAGCCCCAGGCCACAAGTGCAAAATCTTCAAGGGTTCGCGGCGACATCGCAGACGCAAACTCCAACGCCTTATGTCTCGTCGCACGTGTCCCTTACGCCGTTGCCCTGCAGAAGCACCAGCCCTATAGTGTCGGTGACGAGCGTAACAGCACCGGTCGCATCAACCACCTTCCGGCAGAGCCCTAGCCCCAACGCACCTCTACCCTATACAACCGCTCACAGTCCCGGTATACTGCAGGTATGCTACAATTAATAAGTAACAATACAGAAAAAGTCACTCAAAGTCCCAAAAGTTACCTGAGGTCATTTGCTTGCAACTTCTTCCTTAGCGTAAATGCAATCCGTGGCTTTGTTTGCCAGTTATTCACGAAAAACAGCGACCGAGCCAATGAGCGGAACTGGACATTGGACAGTGTTTTTTGTTAAAAACTTATTGCCTGGGGTACTTAAAAAGTTCTCACATTTGACAAGGGATAACACTTTACGAGTAAATCAATGAAATAGTCAATATTAATACAGTTATTCAATAACTAATATATAATAATTATAATAATAATAATGATAATAATAATAACTAATATAATAATAATAATAATAATAATAATAATAATAATAATAATAATAATAATAACTAATATATAATAATAATAATGGTAATAATAATAACTAATATATAATAATAATAATGATAATAATGATAATAATAATAACTAATATAATAATAATAATAATAATAATAATAATAATAATAATAATAATAATAATAACTAATATATAATAATAATAATGGTAATAATAATAACTAATATATAATAATAATAATGATAATAATGATAATAATAATAACTAATATATAATAATAATAATTAATGATAATAATAATAACTAATATATAATAATAGTAATTAATACAGTTATTCAACTGTCTCAAAAAAAGGAAAATCAGAATTTTACTGTTTAGGCAAAATTCAGACATTGACTTTTGACCAATTTTCCGAGCCAAATACTCCACCATGCGGGCATTGCGAATGAACACGTGAATTTCGAATTAATTTTGAACATATTGATCACCGCAGGACTCATATAGAGAAACGTTTTTATTAGGTAGGAACTTGCGAATCATCGTGTGGCAGCGGCACGACACCTAGTCCCGGGGGTGGCGGTGGTGCACCTGCGAGCCCACCTCAACCGACTCCGACTCTGCTACAGTCGCAGATACAGAGATTAGCTGAGGCGGCCGAAAGACTTGCCGCTACGATTCGTCCAGTCGATCCGAAACCTCATAACGTCAAGAAGAAGATTTGTAAAAATTTGGAGGTAAACCGTTATACGAGGTGTGATAAAAAGATTCCCGGAATTTGTATTTCTTTCAAGGAATATTTATTTATTCCTGAATATATTTATCTGCACTCCCTTCAAAGTGGTCCCCGCCGACTATAACACACTTGCGTCGTCTTCGAGATATTTCACACTTTTTGGAATTGCTCTTAGCTCGTTCTCAGCGATTTTGTCTTCGTTTCTTTTATAATCGCAAAGCGATGTCGTTTCATAGTTTTTTTCATCTTGAAAAGTAGACAAAAAGGCGCGGGAAATTAAATATGACGAATGCGATGACTGCGGCGTTACTATTACTTTGTTTTTTATCAAAAGTTTACCAACAAGTGGTAAAGCCGTGGGCCAGTAAATTTTGGGACTTTGTTTTTGGGCCACCGTGTCTATCGGATGAACAATACGATTCTGAACTACGATCAGATAGAGGCTCTGGGTCGCGCCGTCATCGTATTTCAGAATTACAACGTTCACCAAGTAGATGCTCCGCGCCGCTGTGCGGGACTCCCTGCGCATGCGTCCTCACCCCACTCCTTGCGTAGTGACTTTTCGTGACTGCACTGGTCTAGTGGCATGTGGGCTGACTAAGTAACAATATGAGGGCGCCAAAAATTCGTCAACTTTGGACACGTATAACTTTTCAACCAATGAGTTCCACACTTTGAAACTTTCATTTCCTATGGTTTATCATCAATATCTATGAAAATGTGCCACAAAGTCGAAAAATTGTGGTTCCCTAAGAAATACTTCAACCGCGCACTTTTACGAAACACTTTTACAATTCGTTTTCGGATTCGTGTTTGAGAAGTGACGCCTTTTCACTAATCGCCCAGTGGTTATCAGAAGACAGAAAAAAAAGTTTTGTTTCGTTGAACAGTGAATTATCGATTGTCCCACAGTTCTTCGCGACTATCGGCCTGTATATACTAGAAAAAGAGAGAATCAGTGGGTTGTTTTAGATGGTAATGGCTATGCCTGACAGCGACCCACGACGAATGGAAGAGATCCGAAAGTACGCGGCAATTTACGGAAGATTCGACTGCAAGAGGAAACCCGAGAAACCACTGACATTGCACGAAGTGTCGGTAAACGAAGCCGCCGCACAGATTTGTAGGTTCGTACCTGCCCTTCTTACTAGAAGGGACGAACTTTTTCCTTTGGCCCGGCGGGTTGTCAGAGATTCTGGGTATCATTATTCAAAAAATCATTAGTAAGTACCTTTACTGGAAGATCAGTTCAATCATTCCCTTTACACGCTTTAAACGTTTGCTAACATGTTCACGCTGACTTCAATCCAATGGTAGAGAAAATTGTTGTCGCGTATAAAAAGAAATTCAAAGCCACCCAGATAGCACAAGGACGTGTTTAAGATGTCCTAAAGACGTCCTATAAATGTACTAAAAATGTCCCATAAATATATTACAAACGTTTTATGTTACAAAGCCGAGCGACTTAAAGACGTTTTCTGGACGTCTAAAAGACGTTCGTAGGCCGTTCTTATATTTATATTTATTCATATAATTATTATTATATATATATATTATATATATATAAATATATATATATATATTTATTAATTTATATAATTAAAAATAGATAAATCATATGATTGAAAAAGAAAAAAGAAAGTTGCCCCTGACGGGATTGGAATCCAGGTCAGTTACATTCCCCAGTCAAACACTTAACCGGCTGTAAGCCAACCAATTTTGTTGGAAGTATTATACATACATTCGAATGTAACGTGCACATACTAACTAGTCAATTTTTTTGGTATTGAATTTTTAAGTCTTCACAATGTTTATTTGGATACAAGAATGTTTAATATTGCATAATATGTCTATATGAAATTCAAAAAATGTTGACAAATTCATTTTTTATTATTTTTTTTTAATTAGGATTAATAATGCTTACGACAACATTTAACTGTAGAATTAATATAAAACTGGTAATAATAATATAGAACTGGACGTTGTTTTTTAATATCTGAAATAAGACATTTTAAAGACGTCTATTTTAGGTCCTAAAATGTTCAGACCTAAAATGAACGTAAAATAGATATCTTTAAGACGTCGTGTGGTATCTGGGTACAGTTTCGAATAATTTTGAGGAGTGTTTTCTTTCTTTTGGGTCAGACGTGAATTTCCCTTCTATTTTTAATCTCTTTACAACATTGAAGAAATACACAAAAGATATAAAGATTGCGAAGTGCTCTTTCTCAATTTCTTGTGCGCACAATTTAAAAAGTGTAAAAAGATTCTCCTGCAAAAGCATTACTATTGAATTCAATTAATATAAAATAAAACAATTCCTATATGAAATGAAACCCTCATTTCAACAATGATCTGAATAAATATTTATTTATCTAACTCTCTACTATGTAATACAATTTTCTTAAAATGAAAAAGTAGAAGATAATGTCTAACTATGATTTCAGGTATTAATATACTTTTTTTTCTCTAATTCAAAAGGAAACATGCTGAACTCAGACACACCAATTTTGTTGATGTAAAATCTATTTGGCACATATTTATTTAAATCATCCATCGTCCACATTAAAGGGGTGAAAACAGCCTTCAAAATAGATGCGAACGAATACATTCTTTTTAATATGTAATTTTTTATCACAAATCCATTCATGTGAAACAATGATTAAAAAAAATATTTATTTAAAAAATGTATCAAAAACTTCATAATTTTTCTTCTAAATTTTGATTTTAAATATTATTATATTTTCACGAAAACGAGTTTTTTCTTCTTCATTACGCATCAAGGTAACAATAGTTGTGAGATGTGTAGAATTTAATTTTCCCGCGAAGAAAAATATTTGCACTTATATAGTAGATCTAATATAATACAATATCGTAAACAATAACAGCATTCTGTATGTTGAATGTTAAATTTTGAATAGCCAAAGGTAGCAACATAATTTTTTAGATTTATTTCATAAATAAATAATCTTTCCAGAATTTATTTACATGGCTGGATTTGAGAAAAAACTACAGATTTTTTAAAAAAAGGTATCGTTCTACTGCCGTTAGCTAACAAGATATTCGAGAAAACTTGCTTCTCATTGTCTACTTTGAAATCTGTTACTAAACAATTATATTCAATAGATTCTGTCAAATACTTTTTCAGATATTTTTATTTCTCAGATAAATTATATAAAAATTGGTGTTTCCAAGTTCTTTATGCGTTTCCTCATCAATTGAATTTTACAAAAATTTGTCTTGCTTGCACATTTTTTCAGTTGGGCAATTTATTGGGCAATTTATTTGTTATATCTGCTTAGATAAAAAGCATTTTGATTGGTTTATCAGTGGTGACACATATGTAGTCGATTATTTCATTTCTCTGTTTTGTAGTTTATCCATCTCAAACAAAAGCATTACGAAAAAAAATATTTGAACGAAAGCATTAAAATATTAAAAATTCTATTAAATAGGCATCTTGGATTCATCTTGAGTGGACAGATCAAGGTCACTTCCAAGTTAGCTGCTAAATTTTTATCGAAAATACATAAATAGCTAGTGTTCCGGAAAGGCCCTGGTGATAGCTTTAAAACTGTATAAAAAATGAGATGTTCCAATTTTTATTATCTAATACTTCTGCCTAAACTATTTTTTCCGAAAATGCTTCATTTCTCAGATAATTTTGTATGATAAATGTTTCGGCTATTCAGCATTAAAACCTGTTAAACATTTTCATTGGTCGCCACTGGTCGTATTAAGGACCTGAAAGCCAGAATAACCCTTCAAAATGTTACAACTCTTCTAAAGAGTTTCAAGACGTTAGAATAATTGATGTTTAATATCCAAAGTGTCTCGGGAGTTTCCGGTTAAATTGCGAGAACATAATCTACCCAAACAGTCGAAACGTCTTAAAGACGTCTATGTTACGTCCATTCTAGGACTGAGCGTCTTACGTCCTAAAATGGACATATTTAAGGCATCTTATTTCAGACGTTACAACGTCTAGATATATTTCTATATATTATAGAAATATGAAATAAATATAAATAGAAAAAACGGCCAACAAACGGCCTGCGAACGGCCTACGTATGGCCTACAAACAGGCGGCTTTGTGCTATCTGGGTAAAGGTCAAGAGAAGAAAGAAATGATATATAAAATTTGCGAATAAACGCTCTTTGCTACAGTGATATAAACAAATAACAAGAAGGAACCGCTAAGCCCCTACGAGGCGTTTCTGTAATGATGCAAACCCGCGTAGCGTCACGTCAGGGCTTTGCGTTTCCTTAACATCACTTCGATATGAGAATTTAAACATTATTCGCTTACGTAAAAAAGCATTCGTTCGTGAACTTCATGTAACATTTGTTTCTTCTTTTGCCCTCTGGATCAATTTGTCTCAATTAGTCCGGAAAATCCCGGGACACGCTGTATATGTATACAACGAAATATAGTGTCGTCGAGAACGTGTTACATGTGATCGCATTAATTTACAGTTTCACACTTTTGTTTGAAATGCTTTAGCCTATCTGTGTCAAGACCGCGCGAAAACGGCGAGGATAACGAAAACGAGCGTGCAAAGCGGCAAAAGCTCGAGCTTGAGGGTGAGAATGAAGACGGGACGCAGGTTAGCGCACCACGACCATAAAAATAAGCTGTATGCAGAAGATTCCAGTTGAAATTAGTTGCAAACGTGATTTGGGATCGTGGATTTCGCCCCGTGCTGAGATTGTATCGTTTCGTGCACCCTATGCGGCCACAGAGAAGGATATTCCGAAGGGCGCGTTCGGCTTCTACGTTTCAGATATACCTTCAATCTGGAATCATTGGCATATTAACGAAACCACTCTACCTACACGCATGAGCGCTAACCACTAACAATGCATCCAGCACATAAAATAACTGCAACACCTAAACTACCGCTCGATTGTCACGCACGTGAACGGCAGCCGAAAAAGGTCAAGTATAGCTCCTGCATAACATGCATGGCTTTCTAACGAATCGCATGCTATTACCATTCGATTTTCAGAGCTAAGTTTAACGAACTGATGCAAGATGAATACCGAAAATACTTAGACACCATAAAGATCTGTTACTTTTTTATTATCCATTTAAAAAGCGCATTCTATTATTTTACTTTTCACGAGTTATTTATCACAATTAACAGAAACGCCTAATATATTACGCTAAAAAGTATCGGCTACATTTATCCAAGTATTAAATGAAATAATATTCAATTCTCCTTTTCAAAATATATTCACACTCTAGGAGGAGATGTGGAATGTAATTATCCACACTGTCGATTGTATTATGTGTTCTAAGAACATTTTAATATTTCCCATCACATTAATTTCATTTAGGATACATATCTCGTATTTCTATGCTTGTCAAAGAATATTGTTTGAAACATTTTGAATTTGTACATGTGTATGTATAGTCTACACGCGACAAAAAGGCACCTTTGTGTTTAAGTTCCCCCTCCTACTAGCTGCCTCACTGCCGTAGCTGTCGGCCGTTAGCGATCGCTGTCTCTCTCCATCACCGTTTTCGGCCAATAGCGACCAATAGCTGTGGCAGTGGGGCAGCTAGTAAGAGGAGGAATGTAAACACAAAGGTGCCTTCTTGTCGCGTGATGACTATACTCACGGAACTATTTCTATCAAATCTGAAAATAAAACGTTAGCACAAGTGTTTATCGTTCAGAGCGACAAATGACGTTTAGATTACTTACAATTTGTAAATTAATAATCTCAAAATATTTGCCAATTTTTATTTATCAATTGTTATCACATATTCTCGATCATCAATTATTATTACGTTATTCTTTACTATGAACCACGTACTTGAATTTGTTCGTAATACCTTTAACAAAAATCAATCTTTTATTGAATTTTAATAAACCATATTCTTCATTCGAAGTGGAAATATGAAATTTGCTTCTGTCGACAAAAAAAAATATTTAAACACTGTTGTATAAATATTTTCGTTATTCACTGTATATGTATAGGATTAAACAATCTTGGACTGCTATTTTCTGTAAGTGATCTATTAATCCAAATTTTAAATAATACAAAATTGCTTCTTCTCGTTTTAATAATGAACGAGATTGAACATTTTAGTGTATTTTTCTTATAATCTAGTTATTTACTTTTATTAGTGAACAATTATTTTTAAAATGGGCATAAGATATACATGCTTTAAATGGTGCTGCATGAATGTAACTGTTTTTTAAGTCAAAAATGATTCGCTGAGATAAGACAAATATATTCCTGTAAACTTATA